CTCTAAAACATTATCGAAAGATATTAGAGAAGGCCTTAATAAGTGGAAACTTATTGTTAAGATGACAGTTCTTCCCAAATTGATCTATAGAGTCAGTTCAATCTCTATTAAAATCCTAGATGGTTTCTTTGGAGAAATTGATAAGCTGATCCTAAAATTCATATGAAAATGCAAGAGACTCAGAATACCAACACAATCTTGAAAAAGAAGAATTAAAGTTGGAGGACTCACATACCCTGATTTCAAAACTTACTAGAAAGCTACAGCAATCATGAAAGTGTAGTACTGGCATAAAGAGAATTATATACATCAACAGAATAAAATTGTGAGTCTAGAAACAAACCTGTACATTTAAGTCAATTTTCAACGAGGATATTAAGACAATTCCGTGAAGAGAGAATAATATTTTCAACAAATAGGGCTGGAACAACTGGCTAGTCCCATACAAAAGAATAAGATTGGATCCTTATGCAAAAATTAATTCCAAATGGGTCAATGACCTAAATTAGAGCTAAAACCATAAAACTCTTAGAAGATAGCATATAGGTAAATCTTCATGACCTTGGCAATGTATGTATAAAATAGATAACTAATAAGAACCTGCTGTATAAAAAATAAATAAATAAAACAAAATTAATAAAAAACACAATAAGGCAGCACTTCACATCCACGAGGACGGCTATAATAAAAAAGACAGATAATAACAAATGTTGATGAGGGTGTGGAGAAATTGGAAACCCCACATATTGCTGGTGGGAAGATAAAATTTTTCAGTCACCTTTTTCTGATAAAAAATTATTTAATCCAAACAAGTTTACATGTTGACACATGACGTGACTAGAATAAATCTATCCAAATTAAAATTGTGTTAAGGACCAAGCAGATGACTGGTTTATATAATACAGAGTTCGCTCAAAATAGTGGGTCCTAGATCTAGCGTAAGACCTCTCAGTTTGGCAGTTCCTCAAAATATGAAATACAAATTTATCATATGGTCTAGCAAACTCACTCCTAAGTATATACCCAAAAGAATTAAAAATATTTGTTCACACAAAAACCTACACATGAATATTCATAGCATCATTATTCATAACGGCCCAAAAGTGGAAACAACCTATATGTCCATCAACTGATGAACAGATAAATGAAATGTGGTACATCCATACAATGGAATCTTATTTGGCAAAAAAAGAGAAACGAAACAAACCGAAGGACAGTGGTACAATGCGGATGGACCTTGAAAATATACTAAATGAAAGATGCCAATCACAAAAGAACAAATATTGTATGATTACATTCACATGAAATGTCCAGCATAGGCAAATCCAAAGAGGCAGAAGGTGGATTAGTGGTTGCCAGAGGATGTGCTGAGGAGGGAGTGGGGAGTGATTGGTAACACGTACAGGGTTTCTTTGGGGGTGATAAAAACATCTGAACTTAGGCAGTGGATATGATTACATAATTCTGTGACTATACTAAAAACTGTACACTTTAAAAACGAAGTCGATCATTTTTTCATATACTACGTGTTCTCAGGAAAACAGTTGGATAATGCTGCAGAAATGAATATACTCAGTATAACGAACACTGCCCACCTCTACGTAATTACACCATATCTATTTCACAGTCCATATTGACCATTTGGAGAACCCATCAGAAGTGCACATGTGAGTCTCTGTGCTTGTCACTGTCAGAGCCCAGTCAGCCTAAGACCACAAGGGACAAACCTGCAGTTTGACAAAGTCAGGTTTATTGGCTCATTGCAATGAGAAAAACCACACAGTAGAGTTAGTTACTATGGAGCTTCTCAACAAACAAAGGGAAAAGTAGAGTTATTATAGAATTTGGGGGAAGGATGGAATCTGGGTAAAATTCAGATGAAGTAGGTGTTTTAATGCATTTAAAGCAATGCAGGGTGAGTGCAAAAGGGTCACAGCACGGCTAGACTGTGAAATGGATCCAGGGTCATACTTCCTTGGAAACCACTAAGATAAATGTGGACTCTTGTGTCCAGACACCTTTATCTGAATGTCTGCACCTGGGTTGTAAATCAAGGTCTCTTCTTTGTATCAGAGTGTCTTGGTTATTCCAGGCAAGACTGGAGGGGGTTTCATTCTTACCGGAATAACTTCAAACAGCAAAGTTTCTGATAGTCTGATTTTAGAGGACAGGTGAATGGTGAGTAGGACAGCAGTAGTCATCCTAAGAAGGGGTCCTATGGCACTTTTCAGCGTTTCCTTGGGAGAAATACTGTTTACTGTGAACTTGGCAGCCGTCTTTATTTGTGTCTGTTGTCCCAGCCTGATGAATGGCAGGGATGGTTTTTCCTTCCTCAGTATTTGAGGGAGTTACAAAGATTAATGTGATGTTGTTTGTGCTCTTAAGACCCTAGAGGGAAGAAAGGCAATACTTTGATTAAGGAGGGACCCAGGCAGGTTGCCCTTGTGTTTTGGTGGTTTTCAAGGTGCTGGTCAGCAGGACTGAGTTAGCTCAGAGGAAGGACAGTCTGGACTCCAGAGGCGTCTCCTTTCTAACAAACCGATTTCCTCAACCAGGAAGACCTGCTGTAATGTGGACTCCCCCATGGCCCCCCTTCCCTTTCCCCCCTAGAGAAAGAGCAACGCTCGGCGGCCAAGACCTTACTGCAGTGTCCAGGCCAGCCCTGTCCGGCCCTGACACACCCTGTGTGCTGAGCTGAGAGCACGTAGGAGGTTCTGCCTCCCCTGCCCCTGGGTGTCCCATGAACTCTATTTGTACTGCGTGCGACCTCAGTGGGGTGCATACCTTTGTATTCCCGCATGAGGGTTCCGACCACAGAGGCACATGTCCACTTTGTCTCTAGTTTTTGCAAGTGGTCATTTGAAGCCGGGCCACCATAGGGGTGGCAAACATTTCTTCTCAGGGGTCGTGTCAGGTCTCAGGAAGGGCTGGAGAGTGGGTGAGGGTCTCAGAGTTCGGGAATCCAGATGCTCGGGGTGGGTGGGCTCTGAGATCGGGAAGGGGAGCGGAGGGGTAGCAGCCGCAAAGCGAGTGCGCCATTTTTAAGAGGTAGATTCGCTATAAGAGGAAAAACCTGGTAGCGAGGCTGCTGCCAAAGGGGGGCGGGTGGCAGAAGCAGAGGATGGAAAGGCAGCGGCGGGTAGAGAAGACAGGCAGCAGCCGCTGCCTGACTCGCAGCCAAGCTGGTGGGCGGATAAGAAAACCTGGCGTGGATTTCGCTACTCCTGGAGGCAAAAACCCTGAGAGGCTTAGGGTACAAAGGGAAAACCAGGAATGGCTCCAGGAAAATTACAAACACTGGACCAGCAGGAACCAGGACTAGGTCTGGGATTTAGTCCCTAACCCCTCCCTCTCCCGCAAGAGGATGCTCAAAATTTCCTGAATCTGCTGGAGACCAGAGCTTACGTGGCTGGTTAGTAGTAGTCAGTTCTTTTGTTTGTAGAGACAAAATTATGCACGATCTTGGGCCTTTGAAGGTACTGATTAGAGACGTTCAGAGCGACCCCTGTTGGTGACTTCTAGAAACAGTGGGCCAGGGGCACTGCCAAGAATGACCTGTACTCCTAAAACTTGACTAGATAGAATCAGTTTTGTTCCTCTTACCAAGAAAAGGAAAAACAAAACAAGCAAACAAACAAACAAATCAAACCCCGCGATTTGTAGGAATCCTGCGTTAAGGAGGTTCTGCAGCTCTTGGCGGCTCCGTGTTCTCTTAGTGACAGTATAACTTCCTCCTTCCCCAGGGGACATCTGGCTTCCCATCTTGTATTACGCCTGTCCTCACCTCAGGCCAGAGTTTGGTCTTGATCTTGGTAGTCGGGGGATCCCCTTGTCTTCCTCTTCTCTCCTAGGAGACTGAATGTCCACTTTTGTCTCCTTATTTTCAAATGTATGGGGCTAATCCTAGCCAAGGCTTTTAAAATTATTTATTAAAAAATTTTTTTTTTGATGTGGACCATTTTTTTAAAGTCTTTATTGAATTTGTTACAATATTGCTTTTTCTGTTTTATAGTTTGGTTTTCTGGCCACGTGGCATGTGGGATCTTAGCTCCCTGACCTGGGATGGGACACGTACCCCTTGCATTGGAAGGCGAAGTCTTAACCACTGGACCGCCAGGCAAGTCCCTACGCTTTTTAAAAATGGGCTTCAGGGAATCAAATAAGGTCCAGTTATCATCCTCAAGGGTCAACCAGTAGTATTTGATGAATTCATTACATAGAACTAGAGAATAATGTGACATGGAAAGAAAGAAAAACCCGTAGTGCTGTGAGGTGGGCAGTGATGACCAAGGCTCAGAGAAATGATCTTGCCCAAAGTTGCAGTGAATAGTGATAAAGCTCACAATAAGCACTCACTCCCCAGGCGCTTTACAAATATTATTGCATCATCTCAAGTCTCCTACTTGGCTTTGCTGTCTCAGGAGCTCCTCTGAACCTTTATCCTTCTGAATTCCCCTCACATCCAGCAGGGAGATCCAGAGGGCTGGTCCTGGGGGCACATTATTTGTCGTAGGGGAAAAATGGGAATGGAAATGTCTGTGAACCCATGGGTCTGGAGAAGCCAGGCCTTCTCTTTTTCCTCCTCTTCTTTTTAATTCTTCCTATTCCTCTTCTCAGTTACATTTTTCCTGACCCAGGTTGAAACACTTGGAGGTGGAAGTCTTCCTGTAGTGAGCAACCTGACCACCAGAAGGCAGCATGAGACCATGGCTGTGTCTGAGCATTAACCAGGTCCTTCTAATGAGCGCTTCCCCACCAAACATGAGGATCTCGGGTTCCCAATCCTGTCTGCACATTGGAATCATCCGATGAACTTTTATAGAATCACGACTGCCTGGGCTCCATCACAAGCCAACCGCATCTTACATTCCTGGGAATGGGGCGCAGGCGTTGCTAGTCTTCAAGTTTCTCAGGTAATTCTAATATCTATAAAGGGTTAAGAATCACTAATGGAGAACACTGAATCCTGAAAACTGTACAGGCTTTTAGGAATCACCCATCTCAGCCCGTCTGCTCCCATTTCACAGCTTCAGGACCTGAGGCCCAGAGATAGAAACAATAGGCTTAGGGATCATTGGAGGACAGAGCTCAGGACCCTCATGCTCAGCTTGTAATCATTCCTCCATAGCACACGTTCTTCCATGTTTATACCAGGCCTAGGCATCAGAAGGCAGCAAGGAACAGCTCTTTCCTCCCCTCTGATCTCAGGGCTGTGTGGTCCCTGGCTAAGGAGGCTCCCCATTGATGGAAGAATTCAGGAGAAACAGCTGGAGAGCAACCCCAGCCATGTGAGTGCTGAGGTTCAGAGCTCACGTGCTCTAGGAAACCATAGGAGGGAGAGAGGGTATGAGAGCGGCTACAGTCAAGGAAGGCTTCCTGGAGGTGAGGCGAGAGTAGAGGACAGGCTGGATTTCAGTGCCCACCATGGATGGTGGAAGCCACATTCCACACCAGAGGACCAGGACAAATGATGGGCATTGGTGGGGCCACGTGAGCCAGTAGGAGTGGGCAGAGGTGAGGCCTGGAGAGCAGTGAGGGTTAACACCGCAGACAGAGAAGGGGGCACAGCCCAAGGACAGAGGAACATCCAGAGGAACCAAGGCTTTGTATGAAATGTTCTAGGTTTCAGCCTGGATGCAGTGAAGAAACACGGATGCGAGGGGCACAGGTGAGCTGGGCCTTAGAGAGATGCTGCTGGGGTAGGATGGACTAGAGACCCAGAGACGAGACAGCGTGTATGGGGGCCCCATCCAGGGAACTCCCTTTGCATCATCCTTTTCCAGGTCCTCAGAATCTAGAAAAGATGTGACTTTTGGAAGGTGTCCTAGAAGTAACTGCTGAATAGAATGGAACGTTTAGTAGAAGAAGGAGCTCAGCAGGGGGTTGTGGCCAAGGACAGCATGGTAGAAAGATACGGAGGGAATAGAGGGTCGTTTGGAGAGTAGCAGGGGCTCCGTGTCCAGAGGCCTTCTAAGTCGGACAGTTAATGGGGCTGTCAGAACTGTCATAATCCCAGGGGAGCAGGACAGTGGTGTTCAGAGTGAGGCGACCTCCCTCTTTCCCATCCTCTTTCTCCTCTAGTCAGGATATTCTTGGAGATCCCCAGAAACCCCACTTGAGAAAGCTCCGGAAGTCCAGCATTAACCCCGCACCCCATCCTCATGCATCTTTAGAGTTTTGTTGACATGAGGGCTCCTCTTTCCCATGGTGTTGTCCGTGATGTGTCCGGTCCAGTTTTGCCCAATGTAGCCAGCTCTCTATGGGATGATGGGAGCTCAGGAATCCTGTACACTCTACTTTTTTGCTTGTAGGATCCCCCCACCCCGTAAAGCCTACCATGTGGCACTGATGGTGTGTGCCCTTGTCTTTCTTCCATGACATCTGGTTACCACATAGGTACACACTCCATTTCCCCCAATGCCGGGTGTTTTTGGAAGAGACATTATTCAACTGGGCATCCCCAGGGACAGATGGGTAATATTTTGCTCCTAAGCATCCTAGCAGGTCACGTGTTTTTTTATGGGGGGGGGGCAAGGAGAAGAGCCAGAAAACACTGCCCTCTATTTGCAAGGCAATACAAACTTTTCAGAACATCATGTCTGCTATCTCTTCCATCATTCACTGGAACCTTCCGAGGTAAAGAGTATCCTTATTAGGAAATGGCTGCCCAGAGATGGCCCCACCTGCACTGCCCAGCCAATCCAACAGAGAAAGGGGGTCTTTTCCCCTAAAGAAGTGCCCAGAGAGTAACCTGTTTTCCCACATTGGGACATGGGCATGAGGAGATGGGAACACCAGAATTGTTAAGCGTGAGGGAGTCATTCCAGTAAAGGACCAGTTTTGGTAATAATTATGCGGGTTGAAGGCTGTACTGGCACTAACATCCTTTGTGCACTCTGGGACGCTGTGAACAGTCAGCGGGTGCAGTCACAGATTCCACATAGTTCCCTTTGGTGTCCACCCTCCTGCTAATTAGGAAGATTTGGCAGGTCTTGAAAACATCACCTTCTCAAGGTGACACCATTGCTCTCTCCTTCCTTCGGGAAGATCTGGTCCCTGGTCTTTCAGATTTCATCTGTCTTCAACTCAGCTCAGGGTCCCGGCACTGCCATCTTCATATAAATGGGTACGGGCATCCACCCGCCCTAGACTGGTAGTCGGGGGTGTTTGGTCATAACTCTCGGTAGTCCAGAGATTCCCTTTGTTTTCCATTTCTGTCGAAGCAGCTGGAAGCCCACTTTTATCTTCCTCTTATTTCTGTAGGCAGGGCCTGATGTTAGTCAAAGATTTATTAACTTTGGGTCCATACAACCAAATAAGGTACATATACAGCCTCCATGGAGGTCAATCCACTGAAATTTATAGAAAACTTTATGGGTGTGTGCATGCTTCTTTGAGAGAAAGTGATTCAGAACTGTTGCCTGAGACTTCGCAGCTACTGAATAATCCTCAGGAGAGGCTGGCTTTCCTCCTTCGTAATGGGAATGAGGTGAGGATGTCTGGTCTCTCCAGTTTTATGTTTGTTTGTTTTTTAACATTGTGCTGGAGGTCCGAGCTAGCGCAAAAAGGCATACAGATTGGAAAGGAGAGACCAAAACTTTATTTGCTGATGATATGATCAGGTACTCGAAAATTCTAACGAATCTTAAAAAAAATCTACTGGACTCTGTTAAGTGAATTTAGCTAAGTCACAAAATACAGGGCCAATATCGCAGTAATCAATTACACTCCTATACATTAACAGTGAACAACTGGAAAGGGAAAGTTTTAAGTACCATTTATAAAAGCATCTAAAAAGGTGATACATACTAAAGGAAAATTTAATGAAACATGTGAAAAACATGTATGCTGTAAACTATAAAGCGAAGCTGGGAGAAAATAAATGGAGATATCTACCAGGCTTCTGGATTAGAGGACTCAATATTGTTAGATGGCATTTCTCTCTGAGTTACGTATTCGATGCAATCCCAGTCAAGATCCCAGCAGGCTTATTTCTGATTTTTAGAATCTGACAAGCTGATTCTGAGATTTTATACAGAAATCAAAAGGTCATAAAATAGAAAATTTTTGGAAAAGAACAAAGCTTAAGGGTGTAATCTGTCTAAATTTTAAGACAATGTAAATATACAGTAATCAAGTAGGTTACTATAGATTAAGTATAAAAATAGAAATCAATGGAATAACAGTCTAGAAGTAGACCCATATTCATTGATTTTCAATTAAAGTGCCACGGTAATTCAACGGGGGAAATGACAGTGTTTTCAGCAGATAATGCTGGTAAAATGGTATATCCATTTGGGAAAAGAAGGTGAATGTCAACTCTTATCTCACAGGATACACAAAAGTTGACTTAAAATGAGTCACAGAACTAAATATAAAACTATAAAACTTCTAAAAGAAAACATAGGAGACAATAGTGTAAACTTGAGGTAGGCAAAGATTTCTTGTGGGGAAATATGAAGTGTGAACCATAAAAGAAACAGCTGACAAATTGGACTTCATCAAAATTAAAAATTTCGGTTCTTCCAAAAACACCATTAAGAAAATGAAAAGGCAAGTTAGGGGCTGGGAGAAAAATATTTGCAATACATGTATCTGTACAGGACTTGTATCTGGAATTTATAAAGCACTCATATAACACAGTGAGGAGGAGACAAACCAGCCAATTGAAAATGGGTGTGGTAAGAAGAATTCTAAGATGACCCATGCCCATGTATAATAATCTCCCCTACAGTATGTGTGGGACCAGTGAATATTGTGGATGTCACTCCTGTGATTGGATTACATCATATTATATGAAGGGATTGACAGATGTAATTAAGGCTCCTGATCAGTTGACTTTGAGTCAGACAAAAGGGAGATTACCAGTGGGTGGGCCTGACCTAATCAGGTGAGCCTTTTAAATGAGGCTCTAGAAGCAGCGGCAAAGCTTTCCCTCTGGCCTGAATCACCATGGGTTCTACAGCTGCAAGGAAGTGAATTCTGCCAACAACCATGTGTGACTGGAAAAAGACCTGCAGCCCTGGCCAACACCTTGTGAGACCCTGAGCCAAAGGCCCAGCTCAGCCAAGCCTGCAGGACCCATGGAAACTGTGAGACAATACATGTGCTTGATACTTGAATAGCCAATGAGTACCTGAAAAGATGCTCAACACGATTAGTCATAAAACAAAAATGCAAATTACAACCAAAATGCATACCCCTCTATACACGCGATAGAATGGCTAAAGATAGGGAGAAAAAACTGGCAATACTAATTGCAACATCTAGAACTTTCATGGACCACTATGGAAATGTAAAATGGTAGAGCCACTTTGGAGAACAAGTTTGGAAGTTTCTAGTAAAACTAAACATAGATTATCACATGGCCCAGCTATTCCGCCTGTAGATATTTACTCAAGAGAAATAACGTGCATCCACACAGACGTATACATTTTCACTGCACTTTTTGTTCATAATAGCCAAAAAGTAGAAATAGCCCAAATGTATACCAACAGGCAAAGGCGTGAACAAATTGTGCTGCGTCCGTACAAGGGAGCGCTCCTCAGCAGTGGGATCCCTCATGGGGTTGAAGGGAACGACCTCTGACTTCACAGCGGTGGTGGCAGTTACACAGGGGAGTACACGTGTCAGAACTCATCTAACTTTGCACTTATAATGGGTGCCTTTTATAGCCACATCATAACTCAATAGAGTTGATTTTTAAAAATTCACTCTCCTAGAGTGATTTTATTTGCTTGACAATGATCCCATACGGAGGGAAAACCTAGTGATGCAGGTAGATAGAGGTCAGTTGCAGGAGGGATGTCCTTGGTTAGGAAGGGGGGTGGGGTCCACAGCCTATTGATAAAATCAGAGGCGGTTTATCTGTTTTCTTGGTTAAACAGGAAGCAGTGTAGCAGCTGAGAGGGAGGAGAGGTAGGGCATGGGAGGTTTGGGGGGGGTGACAAAAAGGTGTGAAAGTCATTTCAGAGAGTGGGAGACAAAAAAATGGACCTCAGATCCGCGCCCTGCACACACACACTCCCCCCCGCACCCGTGCCCCCGCAGTTCACCTCGGAGCTCTTTTCCCCTCAGATTCCTCTTCCCTGTCACTGTCTCACTTGACCAGCTGCCTTTTCAGTTTAGAATCTTAGACTCCTTACCATCATTAAGGAAACTCCAGGCCATGTGGGGGACTCTGCAGGGGTCACATCCCGGAAAAGCCTTCTGCTTTGTTTCCCAGGTCCCTGCAACGTCCAGGGCTCTGGGGCTTTGGGGAAGCAGTAGGCTCTCAGGAAGCAAGGTGCTTGGGAAGCTCACAAGAGAGGCATCCACCCATGGAGTCAGGAGAGTGGCAGCGGGGGAGGTGTGAGGGCCTGTTGCAATAAGAACTAAGGGCGGGGAACTGGCCGGACAGGCACAGGGACAGGCAGAAGACAAGCTGCCAGGACCCCGAGACCTAACAGAAAAACCTTGGTCTGTGGACTTGGGTTTTCCCAGGGCTGCTAAGCATCTAGGTAGCCAGGGAATCTGACAGGCCTGCTCCCAGCAAACTACCCAGCCTGGTGTCCCTGTGAGAAGGATGCCAACTCCAACCTCATCCATTTGGACCAAGTCCTCCACTGAGAGGACTTTATGGACATCTGTCACTTCTTCAACTTTGATTTCTGTTGTGTCTTACCCTTAAGAGACTCTTACCATGGGCAAGAGACATGTCATCAGCATGTCTACGTGTCCGTGTGGACTCAACCTACCAGAGTCAACTCTGAAATTCGTGGTTTTAAAAAACAACATTGGCCACTAAGGAAGGTCACCTGGACTTGGAGCCTAAGGAGGAAGTGCCTACCTGTTTCCAGCAGTCATTGAGATAGGTATGGAACGAGAATGTTATTAGAAATCGAATGCTTTTAAATAATTTTTGCTAATATCTCTGTAAGCAAAGGACAGTGGCCCTGGAGTCGGGAGAGACTGGGGCCTAGTCCAAATTCTGTGCTCCGTGACCCTGGGCAGGGCTGGCCAGGAGGAGTTATCTGGCTCTAATGACATCATGACATCATGTTTCTCCTTGGTGCCAGGTACTCTTTAGGCAAAGGTGGCGCCTGAGGCCAGGGTAGAACAGACGGCAGCTCTGCTGGCCCCAAGCGTTCCAGAAGAAGTTGGTCATGCAGTGATGTGTCCCCCCCAAGGCATCTCACCCCTCCCACGTGAGACGCAGCCAGCTTGCAGTTCCAAGGCTCCCCCAATGCAGACAGAAAAGACAGGACAGGACAGAGCACCACTGGTTTCCTCCTGGAGGGCCGTTGTCATGGTTCCCATAACCCTGCACGTCCAGAGAAAAATTTGGTACCAGTGGAACCTCTTTTCAAAATACCTTCGCTCCCAAAGAGCATACAAAATACGTGAATTAGTGTCAGAGGAGCTGTTGCCAAAATGTGGACGGTTTCTGCACGTTTAGTTGATCCCTATGGACGGGGCAGGGGAGTGGTCAGTGCAGGTATGAGGCCCAGCCCTCAGTCACTCAGGATGGGGAGCCACAGTCTGAAGCATAGTTCCGCCATCAGCACCCACCTCCAGACCTCAGTCTCCTCCTGGTCAGAGATGGGTCTTTTCTACCATAAACCACAGAGCGCGCTGGGGCCCTGGGTGCTCCCAGGAAGTGGGAGCTTAGAAAAGGAGGAGGTATGAACTAGTTGTCTGGGAGAGTGGGAGAGTGCAAGGACCAGCCAGCGCCAAGGCCCCCTGGACCTGCTTGAGGTTAAAGGTCATGAATTCGGTCTTTATGGTGGAGGTTTTTCTCCAGCCACCTCCAGCTATGCTCCTGGGGGCAGGAGTGGGCCAAGAGCTGATCTTGACCAGGGCTGCCACTTGCTGGATAAGCCCAAGGAAGGGGGCTGTGGTGTACATGGGATACTGCTTATAACAACCACAGAACGTCAGCTGCAGAGGAAAAGAGATGATGAACTGAGGTTGGATTCCACCACACCTAAGCTGTGCGATCTCAGAAAAAATCACTTAACCTCTCCAATCTGCTCTTTCCTTGTTTACAAAATAGGCATCAAAGCGCCCCTTCCATGGGATTGTGAGCATTAAATGATGTCCTTGGTGGGCAAATGTTCTGGCCTATAAAGAGCCCTGTACACAGTGGGTGTGAGCTTTGCATTAAAGGTGGTCTGTGTGCACAAATGTTGCTGGAGCATCCCCGGGCAGCAGCAGCCAGATGTGAAGCTGAGCCCAGCACCCGCGGTCACTCTGCTTCCCCGAGCTCCTCTCCTCCTGCAAATCCACCTGCAGACACCCCCTCTTCCCTGGGGGCCCCCATGAGCATGACAGATGTTCCCACAAACAAGTGGTCTCTCACTGAGCCGGGCTGCTACCCTGTGGGCCCCTCCAGACCCTTCTCTGCTCTTCTAGTGAAAAGCCCTGTTCGGGCTTCCCTAGTGGCGCAGTGGTTGAGAGTCCGCCTGCCAATGCAGGGGACGCGGGTTTGTGCCCCGGTCCGGGAAGATCCCACATGCCGCAGAGCGGCTGGGCCCATGAGCCATGGCCGCTGAGCCTGCGCGTCCGGAGCCTGTGTTCCGCAACGGGAGAGGCCACGGCAGTGAGAGGTCCGCGTACCGAAAAAAAAGAAAAAAAAAGAAAAGGCCTGTGATCAGAATTGGCCTTGATGCCCCTCAGGATGAAGTCTCTCACCGGAAGCCCCTTACACTCCCGTGAAATGGCTACTCAAACAGCTCAGGTGCAGACATCTGTCGGGGGCTGTCCCACAGTCTTTCCCGCGTACCTCAGTTCACTCCTTGGAAATGCAGGATGGGTGCGAAGGCCCTTCCTGGTCTGTGGTCCACAGGCCTCAGCTTCCTGTCAATTTCCTCCGCTGCACCTGAGCTTTGAGTCCTGTGGACAAAAATAGTCAAAGATCACACCCTCTTCTGCCCCTGCGGAGTGACCATCTCCAAGCCCAGCCTAGCCCAGCTCCTGCACTGCTTGGCCAAGTCTCCCCAGGTTTCCCTGCTGTGTTCTCTCCTCCCCTTTACAGCAGCATGTGAAACTTCAGGCCCTACTCCTTTTTCTCCTCTCCTGCCCGAGGCGGATTCCCGACTCCACTCCACTCCAGACTCTCCTCCCTCTGCTGGGAGTCCACCCCCTGCCTCTCTACCACGGCTTTCCTGTCAGCTTCTCCTCTGCCTTAAAAACCCAAACCAAACCTTGACCTTCTCATCTGTCCCAGGCTGAGCAGTCTTCTATTCCCCGGCAGATGAGGCAGGACTCTTCCACACGCTGTCCCCAGACTAGGGACTTCATCTTCGTGCTGACAGCTTCCAAGTCACCCACTCCTTCTCGGATCTCTCCCAAACCACCCAGATGTCCCCCAACTCCAGACACGCAGCCACCCAGAAGGCTTCAAACCTGAGCTTCTCATGGAGGTTCCTTTAAAAACTAAAAATAGAACTACCATACGAGCCAGCAATCCCACTACTGGGGATATACCCTGAGAAAACCATAACTCAAAAAGAGTCATGTAGCACAATGTTCATTGCAGCTCTATTTACAATAGCCAGGACATGGAAGCAACCTAAGTGTCCATCGACAGATGAATGGATAAAGGAGATGTGGCACATGTATACAATGGAATATTACTCAGCCATAAAAAGAAACGAAATTGAGTTATTTGTAGTGAGGTGGATGGACCTAGAGTCTGTCATACAGAGTGAAGTAAGTCAGAAAGAGAAAAACAAATATGTGTGACTTTCACCATAGGTACTATAATAGCACCCATTTAACAGATGGAGGTATTAAGGTACAGAGAAGGTAATAATGGCCCAAGAAGACACAGCCAACAGGGGGCAGGACCAGTGCTCAAATCCAAGCCGTCTAGCTCCAGGCCTCTTGCTTTTAACCATGCCTCCATTCTGCCTGTGGTTCTGAGTGCTCCAGTCTGGGTCTGGGACTCCTTGCTCCACCTTAAGCAACTCTCCCTGCTTCATTTGCTCACAAAGCTCTGTGTACTTCTTTCCCAAGTCTCAGTTCCCAGCCCACCTCCCACCTCTGAGCTTGCTGGACACCTCCTCCTGATGGCCTCTCAGGATCAGAGAGCCCCAGACTTACTTCAAACCCCTTCCTCTGGCCTCGAACAATGTCATTTTGCAGCTTCATCAGCGAATTTCTTTCATTCAGCCTTGCAGGCTAGTTTCCTGTGAGCTTGCCTGTCTCCTTTATCCAGCCGCGAGGTACCCCGGAGGCAGAACCCTGTCCTCTTGGTGCCTCTCTCTGCCTCGCATGCACTGAAGGCGGATTCAGCTCTCTCTCAGATCATATCCCCTCCCAATTTCCCTGTTTCTGCTCAGGGAGCTATTACTTATCCTTTCTTCCTGCCTCTGAAATTTTGCCCTGCCTCACCCCTGGCCTCTGTTTCCCACATCCCCCCGGCCAGGTCAGGGCTGCCTTCCAACTGTCTCTCAGATTCCTGACGGCTGCCTCATTCCAACTGCACAACTGTCATCCAGCACCAACCCTTCACCATCTGGCCATCCCAATGGCTTGCTGGCCCTTCCCCTTATTTTTAAATGTGGAGTCTAATAACCTAAAACATGGTAATGTTTTTTTAAAAAAATCAGTTACCCTGAATATAGCTGTGGGTCAAGAGTTTACTACCTGTGCATTACAAATAGCTGGAGCGGGGAGGAGAAAGGTCTTGATAAAAGAGGGCGTTGTGGGCTTCCCTGGTGGCGCAGCAGTTGAGAATCTGCCTGCTAATGCAGGGAACGCGGGTTGGATCCCTGGTCTGGGAGGATCCCACATGCCGTGGAGCAACTGGGCCCGTGAGCCACAGCTACTGAGCCTGCGCGTCTGGAGCCTGTGCTTCGCAACGGGAGAGGCCGCGATAGTGAGAGGCCCGCGCACCGCGATGAAGAGTGGCCCTGCTTGCCGCAACTAGAGAAAGCCCTCGCACAGAAACGAAGACCCAACACAGCAAAAATAAATAATTAATAAAAACTCCTACCCCCAACATCTTAAAAAAAAAAAAAACCAGAAATGATATTTAAAAAAAAAAAAAAAAGAGGGCATTGTGCTTAGTCTCCAAGATGGCCCCCGCAGCTCAGGATCACTGCCTTCTGGGTTTCATGCCCTTGTGCAGCCTCCTTCCACACTGTCTCATGGTTGGTCTGTATGACCAAAGAACATGGCAGAAGTGATGGTATGTCATCTTTGAGGTTAGGTTGTAAACAACATTGGGATATCTGTGTGTGTGTGTGTGTGTGTGTGTGTGTGTTGTTAACTTGCTCTGAGAAATGTAAGGACACTCAGACAACCCATGCAGCAAGGCCTTCTGCCAAAAGCCACATCACATGAGTGATCCATCTTGGAAGCAGATCCTCAGCCCCACTCAAGCCTTCAGCTGACTGCAGCCCTGACAGTTGACTGGACCTCATGAGAGACTCTGAGCCAGAAGGACCCACTAGGCTGCTCTCAGATTCTTGATGCTCAGAAACTGTGTGAGATAATAAATGCCTATTATTTCAAGCTACTAGATTTTGGGGTAATTTGTTACACAGCAATAGATAACCAATACAGAGGATGGGATCCATTCATTCACTTCGTCATTTAACACAGTTCTTTTTTTTTTTGCGGTACGCGGGCCTCTCACTGTTGTGGCCTCTCCCGTTGCAGAGCACAGGCTCTGGACGCACAGGCTCAGCAGCCATGGCTCACGGGCCCAGCCTCTCCGTGGAATGTGGGATCTTCCCAGACCAGGGCACGAACCCGTGTCCCCTGCATCAGCAGGCAGGCTCTCAACCACTGTGCCACCAGGGAAGCCCCTAACACAGTTCTTTTGAGCTGCTACTATGGGTCAGCTATCCTGGGTACTGGGGGTATAGCAGTGAACAAAATAGCCAAAGTCTTTACTATCAGAGTTTTTACTCTAGTCAGGGGAGGAAGATAATTAAACGAAAGAAAGAGATATGCTAGATGGTGATAAATGCTATGGCGAAAAATCAGTATGAAAATGAAATGGAGGGTATATATAGGCATGATGTTGCAATTTTATATGGGTTGGTCAAGGGAGGCCTCTCTAATAAAGTGCTATTTGGGCAGAGAACTGAAGAAGATGGGCAAGCAGATATACAAGAAACAGCATGCAAGACAAAGGGAACAGCAGGTACGATGGCTCAGCATCCACCCGCTTCTTACCATTTCATTGCTCATCTCTAGCACAGGCTACCTCATATCAGACATAAATTGCTAAACTAACCTCCTAACTGTCTCTGATACCGAGTCCAAACTCGTTCTGCTCACTGCACGACAGGCCAATAAATCGGGAGATGAGGTGTTGGGGCAAGGAATAACGACTTTATTCAGAAAGCCAGCAGACCGAGAAGATGGTGGACTAGTGTCTAAAAAACCATCTTCCCCCAGTCCGAATTCAGGCTTCTTTTATACAAGAAGGGGGAGGGGGATAGAGGGTGTGGTTGGTTGTTGCAAACTTTGTGACTGTGGAGACCACTGCGAGGCTGCCCATTGGTGGAGCGGGACCACTAATGGCCGGCCCACCCCCATTACAATTCCCCACTGTCAGTGTCCATTCTACAGTCTTGAGGGAAAAAGGGGTAACAATCATTGTGGCTACTTCCTACTGAACAGGGGTGATGAAGGGGTGATTGTGGAATGGAATTGATCAGCCTTGGACCGGGAATATTCTTTAAAATTTTTAGTAAGTAATACAATTCTCTTTCTTTAAAAATTTTTGGCTGTGTTGGGTCTTCATTGTTGTGCGTGGGCTCTCTCTAGTTGCAGTGAGTGGGGGCTACTCTTTGTTGCTGTGCGCGGGCTTCTCATTGCAGTGGCTTCTCTTGTTGCAGAGTACGGGCTCTAGGCGCGAGGACTTCAGTAATTGCAGCACGCAGGCTCAGTTGTGGCACACGGGCCTTAGAGCATGTGGGTTTCAGTAGTTGCGGTGCTTGGGCTTCAGTAGTTGTGGCACGCAGGCTTAGTAGTTGTGGCTTGTGAGCTTAGTTGCTCTGTGGCATGTGGGATCTTCCTGGACCAGGGATCGAACCTGTGTCCCCTGCATTGGCAGGAGGATTTTTAACCACTGCACCAGCAGGGAAGTTCTCTTTCTTTCTTTATCTACAACTATTTGAACCTGATGAAATCTCTTCTACAATGAAATTTTAATCTCAATACTTATCCTTTTTGAAGAGCAACCTCAAGTCTTCTAAAGGGTTCAGAAACCCATTGCTCTCTAGGCCTCTCAGGAGTTGGGTCATTTTCTGATGACAGTGGGGTTATTTTAGACTGAGTGTGATGAATCCATGGCTTTAGTGCAGCTCACTTGACAGATGAGTGCATGGTAAGTAATACCACGTGTGGTCCTGTCCACTGTGCAGTTAGCTGGTGTTCAGGCCTTTGTTCTCTATACGTTTTAAGGAGGACTTGATCCCCAGGTTGGAAAGGATGTAAGGCTACTTCAGTTGGATAGGCAGACCTGCTGGAGGCAAACTCATGAACAGAGGTTAGTATAGTGCCCAGAGTTTTAACATAATTGGCAACTGCTAGGTCTTTCAGAGCATTTATAGATTCTCCCACCTGGGCAGGCACCTGGAAAGGCCTACCATACAATATGTCAAAGGGGCTTAATTTAAGCCTGCTTCTGGGAGCCACTCTGACCCACAGCAGGGTAACTGGCAAGGCCTTATCCCAAGTTAAATTGACATACGTTAGCAATGTTCCTTTTTAATGTATAATTCACTCTTTCGGTTTTTCCTGTTGATTGTGGTCTCCAGGATGAATGTAGCAGCCAATTAATTTGCAGTGCTTTGGACACTTGTTGGATTATACTAGAGACAAAAGCAGGCCCGTTACCACTTTGAAGGGAGGCAGGGAGTCCAAATCAG